TTCCAAATTTCATGGCGTCAACAAATCCCAAAAAAGTTGGGACAAGTCCATTTTTACCACTGTGTGGCATCCCCCCTTCTTCTTACAACACTCAACAGACGTCTGGGGACAGAGGAGACCAGTTTCTCAAGTTTAGAAATAGGAATGCTCTCCCATTCATGTGTAATACAGGCCTCTAACTGTTCAATTGTCTTGGGCCTTCTTTGTCGCACCTTCCTCTTTATGATGCGCCAAATGTTCTCTATAGGTGAAAGATCTGGACTGCAGGCTGGCCATTTCAGTACCCGGATCCTTTTCCTACGTAGCCATGATGTTGTGATTGCTGCAGAATGTGGTCTGGCATTATCGTGTTGAAAAATGAAGGGTCTTCCCTGAAAGAGATGACGTTTAGATGGGAGCATATGTTGTTCTAGAACCTGAACATAGTTCTCTGCATTAATGGTACCTTTCCAGACATGCAAGCTGCCCATGCCACAAGTGCTCATGCAGCCCCATACCATCAGTGATGCAGGCTTCTGAACGAAGCGTTGATAACAACTTGGGCTATCCTTGTCCTCTCTGGTCCGGATGACATGGTGTCCCAGTGTTCCATAAAGAACTTCAAATCGTGACTCATCTGACCACAGAACAGTTTTCCATTTTGCCACACTCCATTTTAAATGACCCCTGGCCCAGTGCAAACGTCTGAGCTTGTGGAGCTTGCTTAGAAATGGCTTCCTTTTTGCACTGTAGAGTTTCAGCTGGCAACGGCGGTTGGCACAGTGGATTGTGTTCACTGACAATGCTTTCTGGAAGTATTCCTGAGCCCATTCTGTTATTTCCTTGACAGTGGCATTCCTGTTTGAGGTGCAGTGACGTTTAAGGGCCGGGAGATCACGAGCATCCAGTAGAGTTTTACGGCCTTGACCCTTACGCACAGCGATTGTTCCAGATTCTCTGAATCTTTTGATGATGTTATGCACGGTTGATGATGATAACTTAAAAGTCTTTGCTATTTTACGCTGGGTAACACCATTCTAGTATTGCTGCACTATCTTTCTGCGCACCAATGGTGGAATTGGTGATCCTCTTACCATCTTGGCTTCTGAGAGACACTGACACTCTGAGAAGCTCTTTTTATACCCAATCATGTTGTCAATTGACCTAATTAGTGTTAATTGGTCTTCCAGCTGTTCGTTATGTGCTCAATTTCCTTTTTCCAGTCACTTATTGCTACTTGTCCCAACTTTTTTGGGATTTGTTGACACTGTGAAATTTTGAATCAACATATTTTTCCTTTAAAATGTTACATTTACTCAGATTAAACTTTTGATCTGTCATCTATGTTATATTACAAATAAAATATTGACATTTGCCATCTCCACATCATTGCATTCAGTTTTTATTCACAATTTGTTTAGTGTCCCAACTTTTTTGGAATCCGGTTTGTATTTTAGATACTGTTTTGTGCAAAATTTAGCTTTTTCAGCCAATTCCAGTTTTTGAGCTCATTTCAGCTCTTTCCACTTCCTTCTGGTAGTTTAAGCTTCTTTCTGCCTTTTCAGCTACTTTTCAGCTATATTTTTGCTAATTTCAGCTTTTTTTAAGCTAATTTTGTAAATTTTCTGATAATTTCTGCTTATTTAAACCTAATTCAGCAAATATGTTCTTTCTGCATTCTTCTGCTAACATACACTTGTTCTTCGATTTCAGCTGCATTTCAGCATTTTTTTTAGCTGATTTCAGCTGTTTTCAGCATGTTCTTTAGCAATAAGCATTCACACTGCATTTTCACAGGAAATGCAGTTTCTCTAGTTTAGTTTGTTCCTGGCTCATTTTTATTTGTTGTGTTCAGGAACGGTATAGAGTTTGTGTTCCAAGAATCCCTTCAGGCTCCAGATGCCGCTGCACCATTGTACCTCTCCTACCTGACCATCCTCAGCGAGTTCTCCAGCAAGCTGCTCAAACCAGACAAGAAGACGGTGTAAGTGCTGCGAGCTCAACAGCTCAGAGGAACATGAACTTTGTCAAACTCTTTTTGTGTCTGTGTAGGTTCTCCTACCTCCAAAAACACACTGCAGAGCACATTATTGACCTAAGGGAGGAGCTATGGCAACCTCTCCTCTACTATCGCGTGTCTTTATTGGCCGTGGCTGAAACGGAGGATGCAGCGTCATACATCAGCTCAGACAAGAGGCCCTATCTGCACAACCGCACTTCTTTTTGCAAACAAAAACAAGAAGGTATGTTACTGCATGGCTCAAAAGAGCATGCATGTGTTGTGCATTCATTGGGTGTTTGCATTTGTTTCTTAGGAAGCAAGTCTCCCAGTCAGTTTCATCCTGCTGACGTTAGTAAAGTTCCCAAACTGAGCACTGGTCCAAGGTGAGTACTTTCTAAAGTGCACCATTTGCACACGTACTTTCCTCACCTCACATTGTCTCTTCAGTCTTCAGGAGAAAATAAGCAATGTGGATCCATCCCCCGTTCCTCTTGAGCTTCCTAGAAGAAGCTTAAACACGGAGGAATCTGTCCTCAGCATCGGCAGCGAGCCAGATGACGGCACGGTGGAGGTCGAGCTGTAGCTTCGAACCACATTTCCTGTTTCGACAAGACCTCATTGGATATTTGTCCTGAATTTGCACCTTATAACCAGAACATGTGGACCTACTATCATCCCAACTTCCATTAATTTTTTTAAACAGGCAGTGCAGTGGCGCAGTAGTTATAGCTGTTGCCTGTCAGCAAGTTCGCAGGATCGCCTCCCAGCTGGAGGCCTTTCTGGGTGGAGTTTGCATGTTCTCCTTGTACATGCATGGGTTTTCTATGGGTACTCTGGTTTCCTCCCTCTGACTAAAAACATGCTTCCAATTGTCCTTATGGTCAGTTGTCTCTATGTGCCCCTGTGATGGACTCGTGACCTGTCCAACGTGTCCCCGTCTTGTCACAGTGACAGCTGAAATAGGTACCAACTCCTCGTGACCCTGAAAAGAGAAGTGGGTAAAAATAATGGCTGGATGGTTGTTTTCTACATTTGGGCTAGTAGGATTTAAGACTCGATTTTAAGACGCGATCTCTCCTGTGTTAAGGTTAAATAAAAATATCCTCTATTTAACTTACGTAAATAAAAGAACCACACTCGATGGCAGGAGAAGATTTTTAACCGGTTTTACTTGCAAGGACTCATTCAAAACAGACTTCACCCACAGGTACACGAAGCATGGATCATGTCACTGAATGAGCCTCAAACAGTTAGCTGCAGACTTTCTACAGCAGCCGAGTCCAGCAGGCGTTCCCTCATAGCTGCAGTCAGATCCATGGCTATCGGCTAGTCGACCTCCAGCTCGAGACAAGAGAATGTTTTGTGCACACATTACAGAAAGATGTTCTCATTCTGAACAATAACATAATAAAAAGATTCATAACATAAATTCTCAAACAGCTAAAACCAACTATTAATTAAATGGTACCACTTTAAAATAAGGCTTCCCTTATAGATGGCTAATAAATAAACATTATTAATGCCTCTATAAACACTTTATAAATCATCAATAACTGCTTATTATGCATTAATTAAGGGTGACAAGAGACAAAACAGATCAGTTTTTTGTCAAATAGTGAGTCAAATCTGTTCACATATATATTTCATCTAGAGTTGTTAAACATTTCAGACTATTACTACCTTGTGAGCACAATAAGCATTTGTAAACCTATTTCTTTAGCACATAATATTGTACTTTATTACGATATTAAAGTATCTACAACTAATGTATTGTAAAAAATAGGTTTACAAATGCTTATTGTGCTCACAACTTAGTAACTTAGTCTGAAATGTTTAATATAACAACTCTAGATGAAATATATAGATGAACTAGGGATGCACAATATTATCGGCATGGTATCGGCCGATATTAGCTACAAAGTTAAATATCGGACATTCCATCAAAATAACTCACCGATATAAAAGGCGGGTGCTGTTTTTGTATGACAACCCAGTGACAAAGATGCCTGCAGCACCAGCACAGTGTTATGACGCCACGTGGGCCGTTGAGTTTATATTTGTGAAAATTTACAAATTTGCACTGTTCGAGTGTTGTCATTGTTAATGGGCGGCTGTGGCTGAGTGGTTAGAGCAGTCGTCCTCCAATGCAAGAGTTGGAGGTTCGAATCCACCAGCAATCACATACCGAAGTGTCTCTGGGCAAGACACTGAACCTCTCATAGCCTCTGATGTGTGTCCCATCAGTGTATAAATGTGATAAAGCTCTGTTTAGTCTCTTTAGAATGATTTGATCCATTAGCTTTGTAGAGATCTAGTAGAGTGCTGTATGAATGGGTAAATGAGGCACAGATTGTTGGAAAGTGCTTTGAGTATCTTGATCAGATAGAAAGGTGCTATATAAGTACAGTCCATTTACCATTGTGTTAGAGAGTAAATGTCATGAATAAATTTGACATTATACATAATCCAAGTTGAAGTGTTGCATCATTATCAGCCCTCTTTTTGGCATCTGCATTTGGTAGCAGGACAAACTGACAAAGACCATGCAGAATAATGTATTTTAATTCCACAGCAGAGAAATCTTTGTAGTCTTTGGAAGTAGGTCTAGGGGAAAAATATACGTATTGGTTATCGGCCAAATAAATTTTAACATATCAGCATATAGACCAAAAATCCAATGTTGTGCATCTCTAAGATGAACAGATTTGGCTCACTATTTGGCAAGAAACTGGTCAGTTGTGTGTCTTGGTCACCCTTAATGCATAAAGCAGTTATTGATGATTTATAAAGTGTTTATAGAGGAAGTAATAACATATCTATAAAGAATTTATTAGCCATCTATAAGGGGAGCCTTATTGTAAAATGGTGCCAATTAAACATTAGCTTAATGACAAAAAAACAATTAGCTTAATGACTGATATGCACAGGTACACTTTGATCCACATGCACTTTAATATAAAGTAAAAATCTTCTGTCCGATTGTTATTTGTCAGTCCTCAACAAATGCATTTATACTCCTATCAGTTGTAAAACTATTGGTTTTCAGTTTTAATAATTTAAATACATTAAAATATCTGTATTAAAGTTTGATACCTCATATCAGGAAAAGTATTTCTTTATATCAAGTTAAAACCTGAAATACCCATGAGGCACTTCAAGCAGACCTAAAGCATTTTTTCTTTTTCCTCAGGGTCACAATAATAAATTGTGTTTATGACTTGACCCCTGTGGCTGAGTGGTTAGAGCAGTCGTCCTCGAATGCGAGAGATGGGGGTTCGAATCCACCAGCAGTCACATGTCGAAGTGTCCCTGGGCAAGACACCTCATTGCCTCTGATGTGTGTCCCATTGGTGTATGAATGTGATAAAGCACTGTTTAGTCTCATTAGAATGATTTGTTCAATTAGCTTTGCAGAGATCTAGTAGAGTGCTGTATGAATGGGTAAACTGGACAGATTGTAGTGTAAAGCGCTTTGAGTATCTTGAAATAAGATAGAAAGGCGCTATATAAGTACAGTCCATTTAATTAGATGGTCTTACGAGTTTTTTTTACTGACATTTTAACTTTATATTATATAGTTTATGATGTAAATAAATTAGAATAAAAATATGCTCAATGTTTCTTTTAGTGTATATCTTATAAATACAAACATCTTGTTCCACCTGTGAATGTAATTTAGCATTAGGAAAAATTCAAGTATTTAAGCAGAACTACTTGTGTTAAAGTGGTTCTTGGGGGATATTTGGAAAATTACCCAAAGTTTTTTTTTTTTTTTAGCAATGACCACATGAAACGGCACTTTGTTCTCTTGGCTCTTTCATTAATCAAAATTTTATTTGTTCCAAAAACCCCAAAACATAGTAAAATCTTTATTTTTCCTGTCAAAGCACATTCAGTTCAAGTACTCCATGACAGAAAAAAGTCAAACTGCATTTAAAACACAGCAAACTCTAAATAAATATGTACAGAAAATCATAAGTTCATCTTTAATCATTTGAAGCCCATCTCGTGTCCATCGTAGTGAAGACTCTTAGACGTAGTATTTAGTAGTGAGGACCTAATGAAGCTTTTGAACACCGTCTTCTTTGGCTGAAGTGTAAAGAACAGCTTAAAATGAAGTTTCCGACCGGCGGCGTGGACAGATGTTTAACATCCTGAGACATTTCTCTGACATCCAGCTGCCACAGGTGCTCTGAACATGAATCTTTTTGTAGGTGGAAGAATAAAGTTACGTTTGATAACTCATTTTCATGATGTGGCATGATATCTCTTTGCTTGTGACTTCTTGACATTTATAAACAGATTGTTTTAAATAAATCATTAATTTGCACTGTACCAGTGTGGAATGATGCTCGTGCTGCTGGTTTCCTGCCAACCAGTTTGTGTTTCCTGTGAGATCAGATTGTGACTTGTGTACCGTTTTTACCTTTGGATGAACGTGCTCATGAACTGATGAACACTGAACACATCAGACTGACTGGTTCCATGTCTCATCATATGTTGCTTGCTGGTTTGTTATATTTTGCACACACTGCACCATTAAAACAACAGATCCAATGATTTACTTCCTAAAGCTTTGAATGAGGCACCAAAGCAGGGACTTCAGCACTTTACATGCTTCGAACATCATCGATCACGTGACTTGCGCTCCGACACCGTGCTGTTTGTTTCTTACGTGTCCCGGAGCTTCAGATGGCCCAGCTCTAGGGTTTAGGCCTGACAGTGGCTTGTTTGGCAGCAACCTGACTCCACTAAACCACTCAGAAATTTACAGCCTTATAAAATAAATTTAAAAGCAACCCTTTGATATGACCACTGGAATGCAAAAGCCAAATGGTTTGACGGCTGAATTACATCAACTTGGGTCTTTCTCATGGACTCGGGGAGCTCCTGTGGATCTGACGGGTTCCGTTTGTGTGAACATGATAAAACTGATGTTCTGAAGAAATGGGATCAGCACTGAACATTACTGATGGTAAAGATACTCTCAGTAAACTGCTTAGCATGTGGGGATGTGAAAACAGTGCATGAAGCCCCGCCTCCTCCAGTGAGGTCTTCAAATATTCTCAGGTGAGAACATTTAATGTTCAGAATCTGTTTATGTTCTTTTTAATTCATCTTGTCAAACGGTCATTTATCCAGTTGTTCACATCTCCAAGATTCTTCTCGTGGTTTTTATACTTGCTGAAATGTGTCGTGTTGTGCAGAACGGGATCTGGATCCGTGCACAACGCCGTTCAGCCATTACCACACGTTGACCTCAGTGTTCGGGACAGGAAAGGGCTGCACAGCAGGCATCACTCATAGTCCTCCTCATACTCGTATTCGTCCAAGTTCAGGTTGCAGTGTGAACTGGGGATCCCAAACAAGTGTCTTTTTGTCGAACTCAGCTCAGTGGAGACGTGCTGCCCTAAAGGGCTCAAAGGATCATCGTACCTACAGACACACGGAGACGGAAACAATCAGTACAACAAATAAACTAAAAACTGCTGAGAAGATTCTTTTCATGGTTGAACTTTAATGAATACAGTGGTCCCTTGTTTATCGCAGTGGATCCGTCCCTTGAAGACCTGCGATACGTGAAAAACCACAAAGTAGGGATAGTAGTACAGGTAGTAAGTACCGGTAGTAGTTTATTTTAGTAATTTTATATATATATATATATATATATATATATATATATATATATATATATGAAGGCATTTTAAACCCTGCCCACACTCTTGCAATATTCTAAACAATGTTTCTAAACTCCAAACGCTCTAAAAGAGCACAGAATGTCATGATTTCCCTCTCTCTGCCTACACTGCTCTCAGCCACCTGCTAGCGTTCTTGGCCACGCACACTTTCCCACTCTGCATGGAGAACAGCTGATCAGCTGCAGCAGGAAGTTTATCCTGCAGCTCTGGGCTGCACAAAGGTGCAGCAGGTGCCAAATCATTTACAATAATTTATTTTAAATAAAAATTTCATGCTGATGGTGCGGCTCATCCATCAATCAGCCAATTGTGTGTCATGTCCAATCTTATTTGAAAAACCGCGATAGAGCGAGTCTGAAAAACGAACTGTGAAGTAGCGAGGGACTGTACTAGAAATAAGCCATTCCTCATTTTCAGCAAATTCACAACTCGAGCAGTTTTTACAAGAAAAACACACTTTGTAGTTATGCCTTTATTTTACCTTTAGAAGAGTAATCACAAGACATTTGGTACCAGGCGTTAACAAAATAAATGGTTATAAATGTGTTTAAACAGAAAACCCTTTTTTTAACCTTGTGTCTTGTGAAAAACTAGTGAACGTGCTACAAAGATGGACGGGAAAACACACATTCGCCTTCATGCCAGCAGCTTAATAAAAATAAAACTTCTGTTTGCTCTGCATCTTCACTGACAAGCCAAGAAACCAACATTTTTCACAAGACAAATAAACAAACAAAACATATGGAATTATTAATTAAGCTTTACAGGATGCTAAAAGAAGGAACAAGTGAAGTCTTTCCTCTCAAACTGTTAATTGTTGGGAAAGTCAAATCAAAGACATTTAATATGAGGGGTTTTTTTTTATTGGAGAGGGCATGGGTACAGCACGTGAAGGCTGGGGCGGCTTTTAATGAAGTTGGGTTCATTAAAATAGAGAAAAGGTTAAAACGGGTTCACCGACAGTCTCTGCTTTAAGACACGACATGTGCATGAGACTGCTGGTGCACAGCTGCTTTCTTTCAACAGTACATACAGATCTGTGGGAGAACAAGGTGTGGGTTTCAGACTAGACCAGCCCAGACAGGAGAATGAGGAGGGGGAGGACAACTACTCCCTACTGCTCTCCAGTGTGTCTTACCTGCTCTGAGGAGAAGACTGTCTTTAGACGCCACTGGTGTTCCTAAAAATTGCCAAACACGCCTGTCAACAGCTGCTTCACCACTGATTCACTCAGAAGGCTTTGCTGTTGCACGTGAAGCACCAAACTGCAGCACCCGGCCACGTGGCAGGAAACTGAAATCAGCTTCTATGACTTTACTGACCTGACCAAACCATCACTGACATTTTTAAAGAGAACATCTGTCAAGTTTAAGATTTTAATGATCAATAAATGTTTATCTTCACAGCTTCAAGAGAAACTGCATCTCCTGTGAAAACGCAGTGTGAACACTTACTGCTGAACAACTTGCTGAAAAACAGCTGAAATTAGCTAAAAACAAACAACCAAACACACATTCTGAAATGTAGCTGAAATGGAAGAACAAGCAGAAGAAAACAGAAAAAAAAAAACATTTTCTGAATTAGATTTAAAAAAGCAGAAATGAGCACAAAAATAAAGAAATTTGCTACAAAAAATGCTGAAATTATAAATAAATAAATTACAAGTAGCTGAAAAGGCAGAAAGAAGCTTAAACTTCCAGAAGGAAACACAAAGAACTGAAATGAGCTCAAAAACTGTGGAATTAGCTGTAAAAGCTAAAATTAGCATCAAATGAGCTAAATAGTAGCTGAAAGAGCAGAAAAAGTTTAAACTAGCAACAACAAAAAAGCTGAAAGGAACATAAGCTGAAATTAGTAGAAATAACTTAATTAGGCTGAAAGTAGCAACAATTAACATGAAAACTTGAATTTATCTGAAAACAGCTGAAATTAGCTAAAAATGCAAAAAAAAAAAAAAAAAAGTAGCTGAAAAGATAGAATGAGTTTAAATCACCAGAAATCAGAAAAAAATGCATGTTTGCCCAATTAAGCTTAAAGAAGCAGAAATGAGCACAAAGAAGTAAGAATTATCTGAAAAAAGCTTAAATTTGCAAAACAAAAAAAGCTGAAAAGTAGTTAAAAAAGCATACAGAAGCATAAAATACCAGAAGGAAGTGGGGAGAGCACTTTTTTTTTTTTGCTGAATTAGGCTGAAAAATAAGTTGAAATGAGTGCAAAGAATGTGAAATTAGCTGAAAAGGCTAAAATTAGCATTAAAACAGCTACTGGTAAATAGCTGAAATAGCAAAAAAGCTTAAACTTGCATAAATAAACTGAAAGCAGCATAACAAGCTGAAATGAGCAAAAATAAGTTGGAAGAAGCATAAAAATGTTGAAGTTAGCAGAAAGGATATAAAAGGATCACAAAACAGCTGAAAAAACAGCTGAAAAAACAGCTGAAAGTAGGTGAAAAAGTTTGTTTGCACAAGGAAGCCGAAAGAAGCTGAAGCAGAACAAAATGTGAAAGGAGCAGTAAAAGGTTGTAAACACATCTAAAAATTTGAAGGATGGAAAATGAGCTCAGTTCATTTTCTATGAGTAAAAGAATGGCAGAAAAGGCTAAATCTTTCAAAAAACTAAAGTTGCAGCAATACCAAAAGTCACGGCACCTTTCTCCTGAAGAGCTGAACGTTTTGATTTATGATTTATTGAAATAGCACAAAAACTGTTGAATGAGAAAGATGCTGAAAAACAAAGAAATGGATCACGAGAGTGAGCGCTTCAAAAACATTCACTCTGTTACATTTCCTTGCTTCATAACAATGTTTTAGTCACTCATACATAAAAAATATTCGGCTTGACTTCGTTTGACTTTGGTTTTAGTAATTTTTATCATTTTTTAAAATTTTATTTTATTTGCAAACATTTCCACTAAAATACACTAAGATTATCTTTAATTCATTTGAAAATATTGTTCTCTTTGAAATCTGCTTTAGCGTGCTTGCTCTAATTTTTTATCTTCTTAAGCTTCTTTCAGCTGTGAAGTTTTGCTCCTTTCAGCTGGTGACTAGCCTTTTGCTCATTTTCTTTTTTAAGTAGTGTTTTCACCATTTAGATTTTAGCTGGTGCTCTGCTTCTTTTAGCTTTAACAATTCAGTTTCAGCTTTTACAGCAAATGTAAGAAAAGTCATTGTGAACTCAGTATTTTTTCAGCTTTTTTACAGAAAATTAAATTCCTCTATCCAAAAAAGTTCAATCTGGTCCTCTGGACATTAAAAAAACAACAAAACAAAACAAAAAAAATGTAGAAACGTTTCGTCTCTCATCCGAAAGACTTCCTCAGTCTGAGGTGCTGTATTCAGCTCAGTCTCTTAAATAGCACCTTCTCAGAGTGGATCAACCAGTTTGCTGCTGACAACCAAAACCATCTGCTCACATGGTCAAGAAGGACCATCAGCCTAACAATGGATCATTAGCACACTGATGGCTGTTTACTATTCACAGGGGGTTGAGTGATACTAGCAATAACAGCAGTGTAAGAGGGGGACAGTTGAACCCGGAGGCCTCCACCCCTGTTTAATGATGGACAACTTATTTTCACAAAGATGGCCTCCTTTACTCCTCTCTCAAACCATCATTCCTCGCTGTCCAGGATGTGAACATCCTCATTCCTAAAAGAATGACCGCTGGCCTGGAGATGAGTGTAGACCGCAGAATCCTGGCCTGATGATGTTTATCTTCTGCGCTGGGCCATCCTTTTGGCCAGTGGCTGTTTAGTTTCCCCGATGTAAGACTGATCACAGCCCTCCTGACACTGAACAGCATACACAA